CTTCCAATAATTGGATTCTATACATAGAAAATTATAATAAACGTATACATTTTTCATGTGTAGAATCTAATTATTGGGGGTCATCTTACATTCAAGGTTGTCTTGTATTTGGATAATACAGTATATCTGGTTCATACTGCTATTGTAAAATATGCAATAAATCATACATGCACAATTGAGATGGCATTACTCATGAGTAAAATGTGAGTAAAGTATTTATGTCATTATATAGTTTTGTGGGTCATGTATATTAAAAAAAAAAAGCTATTTTAAATGCTTTAAAATATTTAATCTAATATTGTTTGGCCTGTATTTTATATTCCTGTGTCTGTAAAGCTAATTTTATTAGTTAGGTTTGGTTCAGCTGCACAAGACCTACCAGAAGCCCTAAAGGAGATTGTCAAAATAACATTAAATGCATTTTTGTCCACCTAGTGCTGTCTTTATAAGATCTAATAATTAAGGACATTCTAAGGCTAGATGAAAGGGGGTATATTCCATTCGAAAGTGGGGAATTTCTTCTAAGTTGTATAAAGTTCCCATTTTTACATGGAAAGGATCCTAAACTGCTAGACCTTAAACCTTTGAACTTGTTCAAGACCCTTATATTAACTTGGACCTTTGGTCTGTGTTAATTTGAAGGGAAAATTCCATAAGGGGGGAAAGAAAGAAAAAATCCCCAGTAGATGGATTTTAATTTATTTTTTTGTTTTGCTTAATAAAAATTCCAGAAGTCTGGAATATTGGAAGTAGTCCTTGTAGTTCTTTAGGAAGTCTGCAGTGTTATTAGGGCAGACTCTATCAATATTGTAATCTGATTCCATTATTGTAGCGTTCATGTTAGGTGTTACTGGTCATGTCAGGCTCCTTCAGTTTGTGTGGTCTGTATATGCATTGTCAGGATTGTATCTGTAATGCTGGGCCCCTGACAAACTCATTGTTACAAGAAAGGGACTGCAGGTTTAATTTAGTAGTGAGAAACAGCTCGGCCAGGTTGGTCTATATACAAGCCTAGACATTAATACCCATGACCAGCCATTCTATGGTGCTTGCCAGGTCATTTGCAGGCATGAACATAACCCCTAAACCAAAAGGTTTTAAGGGTTCCCAGACCCCTTTATGTATACCAATCAAAACTAATTCTAGTTCTCACCAGTTGTTAAAACATATGTAGTTGACATCATCCACATCCTGCTTCTCACCAATTAGGGCATCCTTCCCACCATATACAACCTGTTTACCAGGTCACTCTGATTTTTGTTTTGGTGTTCTGTACTGGTTTTTATCAATTCATTCACTATCTTTTAGCCTTGGAGCTACTTTCAAGCACTTCTGTGCAAGCCATGCATTGTATATATACCTAGTTTCATATTCATTGGGACCTGTTTCAGTTCATGCTGTTATTAGGGCCTCTGTGTGATTTGTAAATGTGCTGACCAGTTGTTATATTAATCCATACTCTGGGAGGGCCTACAGTCCAAGTAGACCCAGATTAGTGTATAGAGTTCATCTGATATACTCAGTGGTGCATGCTAATTACAGCAAACCAAGTGATAAATTATAGGAGGAATTGTGAAATAAAATCTGTCATGTAACTGCAATTTTTCATATAAATATCACCATGTTATAGAAGTGGGATGGGCATGTACTTCAATCTCATGATTTTTCCAGCAGTTATTTTTGAAGATTTCCACCAAAGTACATTTAATAATAATAAACATGCTATTTTAGAATAATGCATTCTGCAAAACTAAAGAAATCTAATACATAACATCTTTTGATATCTGAAATTGCATGTGTTATCTTAATCTGTACATAGATTTTCAGAACTCTCACCAGTATTTACTGTAGCTTGGCATACTTTATTTCCTGGCAAGTGGCATGATTCCACTGACTGTAATAGTGGTACTAATAGTGTTCCACTGTGTTTTGACATAGTCACTAGAATTATGATCAGGCATTTCTTGTTAGCATTTTAATACTGGATAGAAATACTGCAGCAGAGTACTTGTATTATCAGTGTGTATATTTTATATATGCAAGACTTCAGCGTGAAAGCATTGTTGCCCTGTGGGGTCAGGCCAACTCTCAGGATCTCAATATTGCACTGTTAGACAGGAGGGTGTGACACAATTGCACATATAAAAACACACAAATCGATTAGGTGCATACACACACACACTACCAAATCAGACACACATGCATCCAAACCAGCCTAGGCACATGCATACCAATTCAAGCACATACACTATACACCGCAAAAGTTAGACAAAAATCAATTGTCCATACCTGCATACTCCGTACACATACACAGATCACTAATTTGTATATCGTGCACACAATCACACCCCCCCTACACATACACACAGGCAAGTTCCTAACTTGGATGGTACAGTGTGTATGTGTGTGCTTGGGGTACCTGGGATACTTGGGGGAAGGTTCAGGTGACAGAGAGAGTTGAAATGTAGGCAGTGAAAGTTGCCAGAACCGGGATTAGAACCGGTAGACTAGAGAGAAGTTGGCTGAGGAACTGAGGCTTGGGGTTACTTAAGGTAAGGAGGAGACAGCCAGGAAAGAGAGGCAGAAACCTGGGAGCTTGGGGCTGGAAACTGAGGCTGGCAGCTTAGAGATTCGGTGGGGGGCAGATAAGTGGTGGCAAGGAGGAAACAGTCAGGAAACAGACAAAAACCCAACTTGGGGTTTCAAAATAACAGGTTTATTAAACAGACAACACACTACACAGCCCCATGAAGTTATTGGTCCCATCTCTCCTCCCTCTCCCCCCCCAACACATGCACATGCACACGCACTCACAATGGCAGCAGAAGAAAAAGACTCAGTGGAAGAATTTGAGTCCAGGTAGGGAAGAGAAGCAGAGTCCAAGTCCTTGGATGAAGAGGGGTGGGGATGATAGCTACCTATCCAGGCTGGAAAGAGGTCTTTGTCCAGTAGGTGTTGTCGCAGGGGGGTCGCCAGCAGGGCCTCTGGGTGGATAGGTGGTGTGGCATGGTGCTGGTCCAGATGGAGAGGGCATCCCAAGGAGTCAGTCTTCATTACCCCTTTTTATGGGGCAGACTACCTCTGATCTCCTATGGGGAGGGCCTGTCCAGGCAATGTCAGTCCTGTTCCAGAGGGCTCCAGGTGTTCTTACTGAGCATGTGCAGCCTTGGCACAATGGTGGGTTGCCTCATCTTTTGTTTCTTGAATGCTGAGGGTGGTTCCAAGGGCTGGGTCGTTGGTCAGGTATTGGTGTTGATGGTTTGGTCACTCAGAAGGAGCTATTTTTAGACCTACTGCCATTGTCTCTCAAGCACCCTCATTCATCCTCATTTATTCAGGAGCCAGGTTACATAGGAGGAGTAGTATGAGTCATAGGTTACACAACTGGGCATGGGGATAAGATGGAGGCTTGACATTACAAGATGGAAACTTGACATGACTTACACTAACTTACATATCTAGGCCTAAAACAGTAATCACACAATATAAAAGCAGTAAAAAAAATCAATACAAACATAATAATTATCACTTATAAAACAGTGCGTATCTCTATCAAAATAGCAGGGCACTTATTTGAAGAGGGGAGAGAAAAATAAAACTTACTACCTAAAATAAAGTGTTAAAACTTATCCTACATCTTAGCTTACTTATAATTATCTATAGGGAATAGAGAGGGAAAGGAAAAGTCAGAAATAGTTGGGGAAGGGGAGGGAATGCATTTTAAAAGAAAAAAAGAAAAACGGGGGGGTTTGCTACAGCATCACCCAGTTAATGAAAAGCCAACATTGACGATCAGTTTACAAGCATTGCACATTAAAAGCGAATGATGTTTAATATATTCTATGAGATTCATGAATGAAATTCAGAATTGGAAATCCTGTGTGAGGATGGTGATAGCTTTCTGTTCCTTAGCTTGCTCTGCCACCTCTGTTTCTGGCCCTTATAGCTGCAGGGAGTTTCTTCAGCCTTGGAAAAAACTTCAAGATAATAGGACCATAGGAAAGTAGGGCTGGAAGGTACCTCAGGCTTCTTATAAAGCATTTAAGTAAACAAATATAGAAGGTTACTTCAGTAGAAGTGTTTTAAAGAATAATCTCCACAAATCAGGAGATTACATTACCTTACTTAAAAAGTTCTGTTATTCCTACACTACCCTGTCAAATCCTTTTGTCCAACTCAAGTTACATAGTACATTCTGGTAATTTTTTAAGATGATACTGAACTAAATTTAAATGGTCTTATGTTGTTAACATTCTCTTTTCAGAAAAAAATCTTGTTAAATTATTTTGTGGGTTTGAGAAAAGACTGAATGTTCAGGGACTGATTTCAGCATTCTGGTTAGAATCACTAAATTAAGCATTTGAAACTTGTAAAACACAACTTTGCCCAGAGGTAGCTGAATATAGCGTGCACGTTTTGAATCAGAAAATATATAAAATAGTGCTTTGTGCAAGAAGGGAAATTGCTTGTCTAGCAATATGTCTTTTGAAAAAAGATGTTTTGTACTGTTAAGTTCAGAAATGGTGTGCAAACTCAGTCTTTACGGGTCTTGCTTCTGGACATTTTAATGATGCAGCAACGCATCCCATTTGGCTTGTCAGCTTTGTGAAAGAGAGAGGAATAACTGTAATTAGAGTTAAACTGTTTACATTTATAATCTATAGATGACTAATAACTTATGAATGTTTTGAATCTAAAAATAATGGTCAGATAACGTTTGTTGCCATATACTGTACATTAGTATAGGAAATAAGCTTTTAGGTAGAGTGCTTAAGTGTACGTGCTAAATAGTGAACATAAGAATTAGGAAACTGGGTATTTTTGAAAAGTTTGCATCTTACCACTTTTAATATTAAAAGAGGAATCTTATTGCCAAAGATGACTTAGCATTTAATGAAGAAATGTTCTGGATAGAACTTGTTTTATTGTTACACCTTCCTGAATGTTCCTGTGAGATGAGTACAAACTCCTACCCTGATTCTCCTGCTTGTATACTGTAGGTTAAAGCAGCAACAGGTGAGGAGGTGTCGGCAGAGGATCTGGGAGGCGCTGATCTTCACTGCAGGTAGAAAAGAAAAAGCAATTCATTTTCTTTAAACCCCACTCCCAGTCCCTTAGTCTGAATGGGGCTTAAAATCAACTGGACAAAGGATTTTTTGTATTAGGTTGGTCCACCCAATTTAGAGTCCTACACAGCAGTTATCTGTAACTCAATTTTCAGAGGAGGGCAAGCCACTCCGCTCCATAATGCACCCATCTAGCTGTTTGATTGTGTGCATTTGATGTCTACAGTCCACATCTGTTGATGGTAGTGTAGCAGAGGAAATAGTACTGAAAATGGTGGCCCTGTGCAATAATGATTGTAGCCTGAGTGTATATTTAGGTCCCTTGTATTGCCTCAGATCTCCGGTATATATGAAGTGAGGGAGAGGGGTTATTGGTATTACTTTACCATTAATTTTTTCCCCAAATTTTCTTTTAGGTAAGCCCTGTTATTTTCCACTTCAATGGGTTTTTTGGGGGGTTTTTTTGTTATTGAATGAGATCATAGAGCTGGAAGGGACCACATGGTGTAATCTAGTTCAATCCCCAGGATCATCTTTGACTATATTATCCCAGCGAAGTGTCTGACTGGCCTGTTCTTAAAATTTTCCAGGGATGGAAATTACATAGCTTCTCTTAGTAGCCTGTTCCAGCCCTTCTGGGGTCATAGTCAGAAAGTTTTTCCTAATTTCAAACCAGAATTTCCTCCCCTGAAGTTTGAAGCCTTTGCTCCTAGTCCTGTCCTCTGTGGCCACAGAGAAAAGACTGTCTCCATCCTCTTTTATAATCTCCCTTCAAATATTTGAAGACTGTTATCAAATCCCCACTCAATCTTCTTTCCTCCTGACTAAATAACCCTTGTTCTTTCAGCTTTCCTTCATAAATTTTGTTTCCAGGCCTCTAATAATTTTTGTCACTCTCCACTGGGCTTTTTCCAATTTGTTCATATCTGAATTGATAGCATAGAATGCTTTTGTACCCTTGAAATATTCTGATATCATAATTATAATAGTCTAAATAGTGTGTGTTTTCTGAGTTAAAATTCAGTTATCTTTATTAAAAAATATATGGAATCAAAAGTAATAGAAAAGCATGCATATATTATTGAGTACATTTTATTGTGTTTAGTGTCATTAGGATTTAAATCATGGAAGGTATTGCACATTTTATACCTTCTAAGACTGCCTCTTGTGTTGGTGACTGTAACTTGTTATAAGCTACCTTAAAATTGTCTGATGAGGGGAAAGTGAAAACTACTCTAAACATGTTAATGGCCATGAAAATGGAAAAAAAATGCCAAATGGCAAATGTACTCTATGATAAATAAGCTTCCTCTGTACTTCCGTTCACTAGCAATTTTTTAAAAATACTATCAAGATTTTTTCATAAGTTCCAATTAATTTAGTTCAATTAAAACAATAATTCAAGAGCTTATTATAGGAATTCATGCCCCCAAATATTTCCTCATTCTTGCATACCCAGTCTTTTTATTGTTCACTTATACATGAATGTTGGGCTGCTAGGACTGGTTTTATTTTATTATTGTTTATTTAATTAATTGGGTTTTATGCCCATGTGAAAAATTAAAAGGACAGTTTAAAAATATAAAGCAGGTCATATATTACATTTGCCAAACTTATTGTGATCCTTTAAAAAATGGAAAGTTTAGAATATTTAAGACCATGTACTTGAAATCAAGTTCATAAATGGATTAGGAGACAGACCTTAGGAATCATTTTTTTTTAATTCTTAGGCAGAAATATTTACAATCCCTCATTTTGATTACTTTGATTACTTTGTTATTTTTAATATACAGAAAGTCTGGTGTAACTGATCACTATGCTTTAGATGACAGTCATGCACTCCATCTAGCTAGGAGAGCTGTGAGGAATTTAAATTACCAAAAGAAAGTTGATGTAAGTATGTCTTCTATTTTCTATACGATACTGTATTTTTATATTAAAAAGTGTAGTTTGCTTTGATTTTTGTTGTGCCTTGGTATGTCTAACATTACCATATTTGCTTAAAGCCAGGATTCATAGATGCATGATGTAGGGTCGGAAGTGACCTAAGTAGATCATCAAGTCTTATCCCCTGCCCTGGGCAGGAGAGAATACTGGGCTCATATGACCCCAGCACTTCCCTTGGAAGTTGGTTCCAGATCCTAGCCACCCTGACTGTGAAATAGTGTCTTCTAATGCCCAGCCTGAACCTACTCTCAAACAATTATGGCCATTATTCCTTGTTACTCCAGGAGGTGCTCGGGTGAACAGGGGCTCTCCCATTCCCCACTGGTCCCCCCTGGTAAGTTTGTAAACATCCACCATGTCCCCTCTCAGCCTTCTCTTGTGAAGGCTGAACAGGTTCAGGTCCCGTAGCCTCTCCTCATAGGGTCTGCCCTGCTGTCCCCCGATCATGCGAATGGCCCTACTCTGGACCCTCTCGATACTGTCCACGTACCTCCTGAAGTGCGGTGCCTAGAACTGGATGCAGTACTCCAACTGTGGCCTAACCAGTGTCACATAGAGGGGGAGGATCACCTCCTTGGCCCTGCTTGTGATGCATCTGTGGATGCATGACAAGGTGCAGTTGGCCTTACTGACCATGTCCTCACATTGGCGGCCCATGTTCATTTTGGAATCGATAATGACTCCAAGATCTCTTTCTGCCACTGTGCTTCTGAGAAGGGAGTTCCCCAGCCTATAGGTATGCTGCTGGTTCTTACTGCCCAAGTGCAGCACCCTGCACTTGTCAGTATTGAATCCCATCCTATTCTAATTTGCCCACCCTTGTAACCTGTCCAGGTCCAGCTGTATCCTGTCCCACCCTTCTAGCGTGCCCACCTTGCCCCAAATCTTGGTGTCATCAGCAAATTTGAACAGGGTGCTTTTCACCCCTTCGTCCAAGTCGCTAATAAAGAGATTAAACAGTGCAGGCCCGAGGACCGAGCCCTGGGTGACCCCACTGCCCACATCCCTCCAGGTTGAATATGATCTGTCCACCACCACTCTCTGGGTGCGGCCCCTCAGCCAATTTGCGACCCATCTGACTGTGTAGGCATCAATGCCATAGTCACCTAGCTTTTTAATGAGAATGGGGTGGGAGACAGTGTCAAAGGCCTTCCTAAAGTCCAGAAAGACTACATCCACCGCGACACCTGTGTCCAGTGATTTTGTGACCTGATCGTAGAAGGCAGTCAGGTTGGTCTGACAGGACCTGTCCCTAATAAACCCATGCTAGTTGCCCCTGAGTATCATCCCCCTTGCTGGTCCTTCCCAGAAGTGCTCCTGGATAATCTTCTCAAGGAGCTTCCCCAGGATCGAAGTAAGACTAATAGGCCTACAGTTGCCCGGGTCCTCCCTCTTCCCTGTTTTGAAAATGGGGACCACATTGGCCTTCTTCCAGTCATCTGGCACCTGGCCAGAGCACCATGAGTGCTCGTAAAGCTGTGCCAGGGGCCCCTCGATAACCCCTGCCAATTCCCTCAGCACCCTGGGGTGGAGAGCATCTGGACCTGCTGATTTGAATGTGTCCAGTCCCTCCAGGAGTTCCCTAACTCGGTCTTCCCTGACCCTAGGCCTGTCAGAGTCTTTCCTGAGTCCATCCTGAATCTCAGTGGGGGAGTCCCAGTCCCTGCACAAAAAAATGGAGGCAAAGAAATTGTTAAAAATGTCTGCCTTTTCCTTTGGTGCAACCACCAGATTGCCAAGCATATCCCGCAGAGGCCCCACATTACCTGGTGCTTTTTTCATACTCCCTATGTATTTAAAAAAGGACTTTTTGTTGTCTTTGATCCTTGATGCTAGCCCTAGTTCCGTGTCTGCCTTAGCTTTCCTGACCGCCCCCCTACAAACCCAAGCAATGGAAGTATACTCCTCTTTGGTGATAGCCCCTCCCTTCAACTGGGTGTACGCCTCTTTTTTGGCTTTCAGGCATTCTTGAATGCCTTTGGTGAGCCAGGGAGTCTTCTGAGCACTTTTTCCCCCTTTGATTCTCATTGGGACTGTCACCCCTTGGGCTTGAAGGATCATCTCCTTAATTGCCAGTCAAGAATGACAGATTTCAGGGAGTGTTTACATGGTCCCTCCCTCCCCCTCCCCAGCTCACCCTTCAGGGCTGACCATGTAAAGACTCTCTCTGCCGCCACTGCCTTCTCCTCCAGCCTCCGGCGCGGGGGCTCCCTCCCTCCCTCCCTCCCTGCCGGCTGTTGTCAGGGCCGGGCAGCAGGGGGGCACTACCACTGTGATCCCTCTTCCCCACCCCTCCCTGCTTCCCTCCCTCCTTTGCTTCCTTCCTTGCCACCCAGCCCTGACAACAACCACCACCGTGACCCACCTCGTGCCCTCCCAAGCCTGCACAGCCCCCCCCCGCTGCC